GCCCCCAATACAAAGGCATCCACATTCGTTAAAGAAACATTATTAGAACTTAAATCTCATCTAAAGCCCCACACAGTTATAGTGGGAGATTTCAACACACCACTCTCACCACTAGACAAGAATACCAGACAGAAACTCAACAAAGAAGCAAAGGGTCTAATAGAAGTAATGACCCAACTGGGATTAACAGATATCTATAGAACATTTCATCCACATAAAAAAGAATATACCTTCTTCTCACCACCACATGGAACCTTCTCAAAAATCGACCACATACTTGGCAACATATCAAACCTCAGCAGCTACAAAAAAATTGGAATAACTCCATGCATCTTATCAGACCACCATGCCTTAAAATTAGAATTCAACAACAACACAAATTGCAGAAAACCTACAAACTCATGGAAATTGAATAATGCTCAACTGCACCATCCCTGGGTCAAAGAGGAAATAAAAAAAGAAATTAAAGACTTCCTCGAATTCAATGAGAATGAAGACACAACATACCCAAACCTATGGGACACTTTGAAAGCAGTGCTACGGGGAAGTTCATAGCACTAAGTGCTCACATGAAGAAACAGGAAAACAGTTATACCAGAGAATTAACATCACAGCTAAAAGCTCTAGAACACAAAGAAGCAAACTCCCCCAGGAGGAGTAGACGCCAGGAAATAATCAAATTGAGGGCTGAAATCAACAAAGTAGAAACCAGGAAAACAATACAAAGAATCAATGCAACGAAGAGTTGGTTCTTTGAGAAAATCAACAAGATAGACAAACCTTTGTCCAAACTTACCAAACAGCAGAGAGTGAACACGCAAATTAACAAAATCAGAAATGAAAAGGGGGACATAACAACAGACTCTGAGGAAATCCAGAGAATCATTAGGTCATACTTTGAAAACCTGTACTCCACAAAATTCGAAAATTTAAAGGAAATGGATGACTTCCTGGACAGCTATCATTTGCCAAAACTAAATCAAGAACAGATAAGCAATTTAAATAGACCTATAACCCCTATGGAAATAGAAGCTGTCATCAAAAGTCTCCCAACCAAAAAAAGTCCAGGTCCAGATGGCCTCAGTGCAGAATTCTACCACAAATTCAAAGAACAGCTTATACCAATTCTTCTCAAAGTGTTCCACACAATAGAAGCAGAAGGGTCTTTGCCAAACTCTTTCTATGAGGCTTCAATAACCTTGATCCCCAAGCCACACAAAGATACAACCAAGAAAGAGAACTTCAGACCAATATCCCTCATGAACATTGATGCAAAAATACTCAATAAAATACTGGCAAATCGGATCCAAGAACACATCAAAACAATCATTCACCACGATCAAGTAGGTTTCATCCCAGGGATGCAGGGATGGTTCAACATACGAAAATCCATCAACGTAATCCACCATATAAACAAGCTGAAAAACAAAAATCACATGATCATCTCACTAGATGCTGAAAAAGCCTTTGACAAAATCCAACACCCCTTCATGATAAAGGTCTTGGAGAGATCTGGGATAACAGGGACATACTTAAACATAATAAAAGCCATATACAGTAAACCAACAGCCAACATCAAACTAAATGGACAGAAACTCAACGCAATTCCTCTAAAATCAGGAACAAAACAAGGCTGTCCACTCTCTCCATACCTTTTCAACATGGTACTTGAAGTTCTAGCTATAGCCATACGACAACAAAGGGGGATCAAGGGGATACAAATTGGGAAGGAAGAAGTCAAACTTTCACTGTTTGCAGACGATATGATAGTTTACATCAATGACCCAAAGAACTCTACCAGGGAACTCTTACAGCTGATTAACACCTTCAGCAAAGTGGCAGGTTACAAGATCAACTCAAGAAAGTCAGTAGCCCTACTATATACAGATGATAAAAGGGCTGAAAGAGAAATCAGAGAAACATCACCCTTTACAATTGCCACAAACAACATAAAATACCTTGGGGTAACGCTAACCAAACAAGTGAAAGACCTGTATCGTAAGAACTTTGAATCTTTAAAGAAAGAAATTAAAGAAGCCCTCAGAAAATGGAAAGATCTCCCATGCTCTTGGATAGGTAGGATCAATGTAGTAAAAATGGCAATCCTGCCAAAAGCAATCTACAGATTCAATGCTATCCCCATTAAAATCCCAGCACAATTCTTCACAGACCTTGAAAGAACAATAATCAATTTTGTATGGAAAAACAAAAGACCCAGGATAGCCAAAACAACCCTGTTCAACAAGGCAACGTCCGGAGGCATCACTATCCCTGACCTCAAGCTCTATTATAGAGCTATAGTCCTGAAAACAGCTTGGTATTGGCACAAAAATAGACAGGCAGACCAATGGAATCGAATTGAAAATCCGGGTATTAACCCACACACGTACGAACATCTGATCTTTGACAAAGAAGCTAAAAATATACAATGGAATAAAGAAAGCATCTTCAACAAATGGTGCTGGCATAATTGGAGACTGGCATGTAGAAGAATGCGGATCGATCCATGTTTATCGCCATGCACAAAACTTAAGTCCAAATGGATCAAAGACCTCAACATAAATCCAGCCACACTGAACCTCTTAGAAGAGAAAGTGGGTGGTACCCTTGAACGAATTGGTACAGGAGACAGCTTCCTGAACATAACACCAGTAGCACAGACAGTGAGATCAACAATTAATAAATGGGACCTACTGAAACTGAGAAGCTTCTGTAAGGCAAAGGACACAGTCAGCAAGACAAAAAGGCAGCCCACAGAATGGGAAAAATATTCACTAATCCCACATCTGACAGAGGGTTGATCTCCAAAATTTACAAAGAACTCAAGAAGCAAGTCTCCAAAACAGCAAAGGACCCAATTAAGAAGTGGGCTGCAGAACTAAATAGAGAGTTTTCAATAGAGGAGTCTAAAATGGCTGAGAGGCACTTGAGAAAGTGCTCAACATCCTTAGCCATCCGGGAAATGCAAATCAAAGCAACTCTGAGATACCATCTCACTCCTGTCAGAATGGCTAAAATCAAAAACACCAATGACAATTTATGCTGGAGAGGATGTGGTGAAAGGGGGACACTCCTCCATTGCTGGTGGGAGTGCCAACTGGTTCAGCCACTTTGGAAAGCAGTATGGAGATTCCTCAGAAAAATGGGAATAAACCTACCACAAGACCCAGCAACTGCACTCTTAGGCATATATCCAAAAGATGCCCATTCATATAACAAAGATGTCTGTTCCACTATGTTCATAGCAGCTTTATTTGTAATAGCCAGAACTTGGAAGCAACCTAGATGTCCCTCACCCGAAGAATGGATAGAGAAAATGTGGTACATCTACACAATGGAGTACTATTCAGCAGAAAAAATAATGGAATCATGAGATTCGCAGGCAAATGGATGACACTAGAAGAAACCATCCTGAGTGAGGTAACCCAGTCACAAAAAGAGAAACATGGCATGTACTCTCTCATATATGGATTTTAGACATAGATCTGGGGAGTGCCAGCCTACAATCCTATTGCCAGAGAGTCTGGGAAACAGAAACTTCATTTACTGGCTGGTTAAGTACTGAGCTGAACTCAAGAAAGCCAGTATCAGAGAGGGAGGACTGATGATCAAAGGGATTAAGACTGGGCTGGTTGAACCCCAGAAACAGCTGACCAGACAAAGGTTAACCTTGAATCCCAGGCATCAGCCTGGGAATCCAGCATGGGACTGATCAAGACCCCCTGAATCTGGGTGTCAGTGAGGAGGCCTAGGTAATCTATTGAGCCTTGGACAGCAGATCAGTACCCATCCCAATTATACACACGGTCTCTGGACTCCCATAGAACAATGTGAGGTGCACTCTCACCCTGAACTCTTGGGGAAGGGTCTAGGCCCTGCCCTATATGAAATGACAGACTATGGACACCCCCATGGAGGGCCTCACCCTCCCTGGGGGAATGAGGGGATAACGGGGGGGATGGGGGGAGGGCACGGGAGGAGGGGAGGGAAAGGGAGAGGGACCTGGAATTGACTTGTGAAGCAACCTTGTTTCTTATCTAAATTTAAAATGGAAAATAAAAAAATATTAATAAAAAAACTGAAAAAGCTGAAAAAAACGTATATTGAGGAAAAATGAAATAAAGGTATAAGATAAAACAAACAAACAAAATGCTCCAAAATCTGAAGAATCACACAAAGCAATTTGTCAGTCATATTCAATAGGTCTACTATTTTATATGACCTTTTTATGTTTACTCAAAGAGGCCATGTAAGGGATTAAATATGATTAAAAGTTGAAATCAATCTGATTCTTAAACATCTGTAGTGCCAGGCTTTGGTGGTGCATGCCTTTAATCCCAGCACTCAGGAGGCAGAGGCGAGCAGATGTCTGTGATTTCAAGACATGCCTGGTCTACAAGTGTGAGTTCCTGGACAACCTCCAAAGCCACACAGAATCCCTGCCTCAAAAAAAAAACTAAAAGAAAAAAAAACAAATCAAAACATCTGTAGTGAATGACTTCAAGTTAGTTTGTTTCATAGCTCTTCAGTGCATAATGAACTCCCAATGTTGAACTTTGCAACAGTTCCTGTATGATCACATTCAAATGTTGGAAAAATTGGGTACTATATAAAAGTTTTATGATCTAATGTGCAAAGACTTGGAAATATATAGACATGAATGTTTACAATCTGAAAAAAATATTCAAATGTAAAATTTATTCATTATTTTAATAATGCTATTTTTATTTAAAATCCTTAGTGTTTTTCTCAGTTTTGATAACATCTTCATGAAGTAAGAACACAGCAATTTAAGTGGTTTCATTTTTCAGAGTTAAAGTCTTGGACTTTCAAAGTTCAAATTAGGAACAAATGGGATAAGCTAAACCCATTTGAATTTGCACAATTTTGCTCTCATTATTAATTTCCTCTTTTTAATGTGTCTTAGAATATAATTTATGTCTTTTTAAAAAAAGATTTATTTTTTATTATGAATATAACATTCTGCCTCCATTTTTGTCTGCTGGCCAGAAGAGGGCGCCAGATCTCATTATGGATGGTTGTGATCTACCATGTGGTTGGTAGGAATTGAACTCAGGACCTCTGGAAAGCAGTCTGTGCTCTTAACCTCTGAGCCATCTCTCCAGCCCCCTATAATTTATGTCTTATAGGTTAAATATTAAAAGAAGTATGGTGTGTGTGTGTGTGTGTGTGTGTGTGTGTCTGAATCTTAAACTAAAGGAAAGATGATGTCAGAACCACTTAAAGCTTCAGTTTTGTGTGTGAGTCTAACGGACTTTGGACCAGTGAGATGGAACAGGAGATAAAGGTGTCTGCTGTCAATTCTGACAACCTGAGTGTGACCACAAAAGACCAAATGAAAAAGGAAGAGGACTGGAAATGAAGCTTCCAGATAGTTCCAAGTTTGTAATATCTTTCTTGCACAGATAAAAGCCTCTCTGGGGGTCAGAGAATGGAGCTTGACACTGACTAACCATAAAGGTTTGGAGGTCTGTACAGACAGGCAAGACGTGGCATAGTTGAGAAGCAAGAGGACATAAGCAGCGACAAACAGTAAATCACCCTCTTTTCTGCAAATCACTCTCTTTTCTGCGGAGATGCTGAGCAGTCATCACATAGCAGGAAAAGGATTTGCAGGTCTGGCACTCACTGGTAAGACAAGGCCACAAGGATATACATGGATTAGTAATTATGGAATAATAATTATGACAGAGATAGCCAAATAAGAAACCCTAGGCACCGACCAACAATATTATAATTATTAGTCTCTGAGTGTTCATTTGGGGCTGACACAGCAGTGGACCCAGGCTGAGGGGAAGAGATGTTGTAACGTAGGTTGACCCATCATAGTGTCTTATGCAGATTCCTCCAAAGAAGACGTTGATAGAACCAGAGAATGAAAGTGACCCATGTCAGTATGAAACAACTTTTGACTATAATACAGTATATATTGTTGGGTTCCAGCACCCACCTAGTCTCTGTGAGTTGCTGGTTGAGTGGCAGGTGCATCCTGTTTCCACCTGTAGCATGGCCTAAGAGCAAAGGGATTATTCTATAGAGTTTAGCACAGGAGAGGATGCAGATATTCTCCTGAATTTTTATGGTTGGACAAAGAAATCTAGATTTAAAAAAAGGTTTTTTAGAAGAAGCCTCAGAAAAACTGCTGCCCTGTCAGACCCCACCTAAAACAGAGTAAATGTAGATACAAATTAGGCCATTTCAGCTAAGATACAAATAAGGCCTTGTCACCAAGTGAGAGTTTTAGAAATTGGATTACTCACAAGCTTCAAGTAATTTTCAAGTTATTTGGGACATATGTTATAGGCTACAGAAATTAAGCCTCAAAATATAGAAAGGTTAGTTCACAATCTTTGAGTGATTTTCAGAAGTTGTTGGGAAATATTCAGTGGTTGCTTCCTTTTTAAAAGGCATATACCTGCAATTTAAACCTCTAAATGAGATTATAAAAGGAGATAATGATCCCAACTCACCTAGACAGTTAACTAAGGCAGGTAGATGAGTTCTGCTGTTTGAGTCTAGTCCAGCATCAACAAGTGTTACAAAACCATGGGAAACATATGCTGGTTCCCCAGCTAAAATGTTAAATTCTTATTTTAAAGCAGTAGTATATAGAATACAGAAATGCCATATGGAATCTAGGAGACTTTTTGTCAGAGAACCAAATATGATACATGTTCCTTACACCAAGCAACAAGTTGATTGGTTGTTTCAGATCAGTGATTCATTGGAAAATGCTTTTGCTCAATTTTAAGAGAGAATTGGTAATCATTTTCCAGCTCATAGATTGTTGCAATTTGCACTAACACATCCTTTTGTATTCCCAAAATCTTAGAGAACACTCCTGTAAAAAATGTTATGTTAGTTTTTACTAATAGCTCCTCTAATATAAGAGCAACTTATGTTAAAATACATGGAGCAAATAATTTCAGAAAAGATAGTCAAGTTATGAGCTGTCACAATGGTTCTCCAACTACTAGCAAATGATTCATTTAATTTGAGTATGATTTTAAAGCTCTTCAAATAATAGAGACAGTTCAATGCATAGGAACTGGCAATGATCAGGTTAGAATATTGTTTGAGCAAATTAAAAATACAATTTATCTAAGAAAATTGCCATGTATTGTGGGTTGAATGAGAGCTCATTCAAACCTCCCTGGCCCACTGGCAAAAGACAAGGAGTCAACAGATAGATTAACAAAATTTGTTGCTTTATCTCAGGTAGAGAGAGCTCTGCAGTCTCATAACTTTCATCATCAGAATAACAGGAGTCTAAGAAAGCAATTTGGTTTAACTAGAAAGACTGCTCATCAAAGTTGTGAAACAATGAGGTGTACCCACAATATTTATCAGTAACTAATTTAAAAAGAACCCTTGAGGCCTACTGCCTAATCATTTATGGAAAATGGTTGTTACTCATATTACAGAATTTGGCAAGTTAAAATATGCACACATGGTGGTTGATAGGTATTCAGGCTTCTTGATGGCCATTACACAAATAGGAAAAGTCACCATACATGTGATAAATCATTGCTTAAAATGTTTTGCTTACATGGGAGTTAGAAAAATGAAAATTGATTGGAAAAACAGGTATTCCTTATAATCCTCAAGGACGAGGAGTTATAGAGCATGCCCAGGCTCGATTTGTCACTCTAGGACAACAGAGAATCCTTCAGCTTGACTATGGTTGAGCCTACAGAAAAATTAGGTAACCAATGACATGTGAGACTAAGGGGATGCCAGCCAACCTAAGACAGGAGGGTCCTACAACATTGGTTTCTCCATTGATAGGTAAGGTTGGCATTAATGTCATAGTCATCTGAGAAAGGCACTAATACTTATATATTATATAATATTATATATATGTATATAAAAAGAAGGGGGAGATGTTGGGTCCCAGCCCCCACCTAATCTCTGTTTGTCACTGGTGAGCCAACAGGTACATCCTGTTTTCCAGTTCAAGATCATTCTGTTTTCTATTCCTTGTCTTGCTTAGTGCCATGGTGTAGTCCTAGATACTTTCTGGTTAGGATTGTCCTTGGACAAATGAAATGAGGCTTTGGCTCATATACCATTGAATGTAAGCTTGGTCCAAGTAGGTTATTTGGTAATTGGGGAGCTGCCGGGTTGCCAGTGATGTCCCTTTAAGCCCTTTGCATAATTTCACTCATTATACTACTACCACCTTGAGTTAAAGTGGGTCCCATCTTCCTGCAATTGTGTGTATGGCCTATGTCACATGTGAAGTTAAGTTATTGTCCATCATCTGTGGCAGTTTAGACAATACATAGGCATGGGGTATTCCTGGGTGTATCCTACACATCTTGATTTCAATGTATGACTATATTATTAAACATTCATGTAACCTGTGGCAATGATGTGATCTTTGACTCCCCTGATTTGAAAATTCTACCATGTAGGATGAAAGGTGCATGTGGGCCTCAAACCCTGAAGATAATGTGTTGGATTTCATTTATCAGATCACCAGCCTTTGTTCCCATAGTGAGTCCATCCTTGTTGGAGGATTTGGTAATGGCTAATTCATAGTGGAGTTCAACTTACCTTGCATCTCTTGAAATAGAGATTGAAATTTATGTAGCATCATATACTGAAGGAAATGATTAAGGCATTCAAAGGTATATTTTATACAAAGTTTATTGATAAAATTCAGAGTCATATAAATTATATCATTCTAATCAAATTTATAAAAGTGTCTATGAAGCATCTTTCTTACATAATCCTTAAGAGTTTAAATAAGTTTCTGTATCTTATAGTTGACTTCACATTCTAAAATCCCATTTCTTTTACAGTACTCATGCACTTGAGTATTAACATCATGGACAAATTCAAATCATAAAACAATACCTGCATACTCATGTTTGTCTTACTAGGTTTCTACATTGCTAATAACACTATGAACTTATTTTGGTTAACAATTGCAGTCTACCTCAAGTCGATTTCCATTTAAAATAGAATACCAGGGCTAGAGAGCTGGCTCAGAGCTTAAGATCACTGACTCTCATTCTAAGAACTCCGGAACAACACCCACAACACAGCTCACAACCATTTGTAAATTCTTTCACTGGGGACATTAAGCCCTTTTGCCTCTTTTGAGCACTGTACACCAGTTGGGCACAGACATTCATGCAGGCAAATCACTTGTACATGTAAAATAAATTCAAAAAATTAAATGTCAGAAAAATTTTAAGCAAAATTAATTTAAATTTAAAATACTTCAGGATATCCATGAAGAGATACTTAATTCTAACATTCTGGTCCATTCATCTACAAGAACATAAACTGGATTTGCTCTTTTTTAGCATTAAAGTTTCCATTAACAATGAAAACCATCATGTGGGCATCTCACACCATTGTATGTGCTCACATTTTAATTCTCTTTTTATATATTTCAGGGTTTTCAAGATGATTTCTATGCATCAGTTTGATAAATTTGAAAATGCAGAGAAAAGATGAGCATTTTAGCAAGAAGACAAAGAAGTTCAAGATGGTATGTATAATTCTGTAAATAAAATTTGTACTTTTTTCCTAAGGCATACTATTATCATCCAGTCACATGGCCTCACACCTTGGGGACTGGGCAGAGCGGTCACCCCTTCATACATGGCAGGCAGTATCTTGGCTCTGTACAGTGGTAAAAAGTCCCTTTAAAAGACAAGCTGTGCCCACTCCTGCTCTCTTTCTGCCTTTTCTCTGAGGAGGCAGATATCTCTCTCTGTCTCTTTCATTCTCTCTCTTTCTTTCTCTCTCCCCTGTCTCCGTTCCCCTCTTCCAATAAAACTCACCACATAAGCTTTGCCTGATGACATGCTTCTCCCTTACCCACTGTGGCATCCACCAAGGTCCCCATCACAAAGCATATCATAACACATATTTAAGTAAATGCTAATTTTTGTACATTATATTTAATTATCAATATTTGGCTTTCATTTCTATCCATGCAAACTGTCTTCTTTCATCTTAAATGCATATTTTAAAATATCAGAAATATCTTCCATTTCTCTAATTGCCAGTATTCGCTGAGACTTAGACTGTTCACAAATGTCTTCTCTTTCTTTCCATTGCTATTAGTCATTGTCACTTTCAAAGTCATATACATTTTCCAGAAAGGGGGGAGTTGAGATAAAGGTAATAGAAAATATTAAATAAAAGTTCAAAAGTTCATTAAATTTCTGTACTAGTTAATTACTGTAAGTTTCCTAATAACTTTTCCTAGTAAGGCAGACGTAGTTGAAATAGTAATTATGTGGACTACACTTATATGCTTCTGTATTTTTAAATAATTCAAACAATTTGAAAATATATAAAAAGTTCTTCTGAGAATTAACCATCATCTCCTCGTTCCAGATTGTTCTTTATTACCCTAATTTTTAAGTTCTTTCTTGAAGTAAAGTTTCTGAAATTAATTTTTATTCTGTTTTTGAAGCTGAAGATGATGAGGCAGTAAAAGCTTAGTGGGTGTTGAGGGGACCAAAGTTGCCAGGTTGGGCCCTATATGAACCTGAGATGAGCTGTATTGGGTTTTATAGTATGTGCTGCATGTAGTGTAAGACATGCGTTGGTTGGTCAAAATTGGGTATGAGGAGAGTCTGGAGAGCTCACCATGTAGGTTGTGCATTAGTATGTGAGTAAATGCACATGAATGCAGTTACTTGCTGAGGACAGAGGTGTCCCAACCTTTGGAGTTGGAGTTGCAGGCAGATGAGACACTATATGTGCATTCCAGGAACCAAACTCTGGAAGAGCAGCAAGATTCATTAACCACTAAGCCATCTCTCCAACTGCTGGGTGCAGTGTGGGCCCAGGTGAACTCCCCTAGGAGGCCTGTAGAGTAGTTCTGCTGCCTCAGGATCATGGTGAAGTTGATTTCATTCTCAGGGAGCCCAACTGAATCTGCATTACACTATAGGGCTCTGTTGTGCTTTATTTAATTCAGTAGCTGTCTATTCCTTAAACAAATGCTGTCCTAATTGGTTTCTCAGTGGTGGCAGCCTGGCATGAATTCTGTTCCCTCAGTCACTGGCTCTATCATAGCTCATAAAAGAAACTTTATCTAGATCTCCTTTACTTTAAAGAACTCAGGATTCAAAGGTTGATGTGAAAATCTGTTTGCTCCAAGAAGATGAACAGATAACTTCCTCTCCCAGGTCGAACCCTATCTACAGAAGAGGGTGTCCTTCTGCTGTGCCTCCACTTAAGAATCCTAGCTACAAGGATGACACCAGCTAAGACTTCTAGCAGTAGTGGAAAGGGTTCCTATAATCAGATTGGTGACTACCCTAACTATCATCATACAACTTTCATCCAGTAACTGATTGAAACAGATGCAGAGATCCACAGCCAAGCACCAGGCCTAGCTATGGAGTCCATTAGAAAGGAGTCAGCAGGGATTATATGAGCAAGAGGGTACACCAATGGAATAGAAATGAACACCCCTATATTAACGCATAGACATATGAATACCTGGTCTTTGACAAAAAAGTTAAAATTATACAAGGGATAAAACAAAGTATAACAAATGGTGCAGGCATAACTGGATGCTGACATGTAGAAGGCTACAGATAGATCCATATCTATTGTCATGCACAAAACTTAAGTTTTGGATCAAAGGCATCAACATAAATCCAGCCACACTGAACCTCTTACAAGAGAAGGTGGGAGGTATCCATGAATGAATTGGTACAGGAGACTGCTTCCTGAACATAACTCCAGTAGTACAGACACTGAGGTCAACAATTAATAAATGGGACCTCCTGAAACTGTGAAGTTTTTGTAAGGAAAAGTCAGCAAGACAAAAAGGCAACCCACAGAATGGGAAAAAATATTCACTAATCCCACGTCTGACAGAGGACTTATCTCCAAAATTTACAAAGAACTCAAGAAAGAAGTTTCAAGAACACTAAAGGATCCAATTAAAAAGTGGAGTACAGAACTAACTAGAGAATTCTCAATAGAGGAGTCTAAAATTGATGAGAGACACTTAAGAAAGTGCTCAATATCCATAGCCATCAGAGAAATGCAAATCAAAACAACTCTGAGATACCATCTTACTCCTGTCAGAATGGCTAAAATAAAAAACAATGACAGTTTATGGAAAGAGGGAACACTCCTCCATTACTGGTGGGAGTGCCAACTCATACACCCACTTTGGAAATCCATATGGGGATTCCTCAGGAAGATGGGAATCAGTCTGCCACAAGACCCAGCAATTCCACTCTTAGGCATATACCCAAAAGATGTACATTCATACAACAAGGATGTCTATTGCACTATATTCATAGCAGGACTATTTGTAATATTCAAGACCTGGAAGCAACCTAGATGCCCCTCAATTGAAGAGCGGACAGAGAAAATGTGGTACATTTACACAGTAGGGTAGTATTCAGTGAAAAAAATGGAATCATTTAATTTACAGGCAAATAGACAACACTAGAAGAAACCATCCCGAGTGAGGTAACCCAGTCACGAAAAGAAAAATATGGAATGTACTCACTCATATATGGATTTTAGACATGGATCAGGGCAGTGCCTGCCTACAATCCATACTGCCAGAGAGTCTGGGAAACAGAACCTTCATCCAGCAACTGATGGAAGCACAGGCAGACACACACAGCTAAATACTGAACTGAACTTCTGGAATCCAGTTACAGAGAAGGAGGACTGATGAGCAAAGGGAACAAAATTGGGCTGGTTTAAGACACAGAAACAGCTGACCTGAACAAGCAGAAGCTATTGGACCCCAGACTGATGGCTGGGAGGCCAGCATGGGACTGATCCAGACCCCCTGAATGTGGGTGTCAGTGAAGAGGCCTTGGCAATCTATGGGGGATTTAGGTAGTAGATCAATATCCCTGGCATACAAATGGACTTTGGTTACCCATCCCATAATAAGGGATGCTCTCTCAGCCTGGACTCTTGGGGGTGGGCCTAGGCCTTGCCATGAATGAAATGACAAACTCTGGAGATCTTCCATGGAGAGCCTCATCCTCCCTGGGAATCAGAGTGGGGATTGGGTTGGGGGGTTGGGGAGCATGTTGGGGGAATAGAGGAGGAAAGGAGGGAGAGGGAGCTGGGACTGACGTGAAACTGAAACAAGCTTGTTTCTTTCTTTTTTTTCTTTTTTGGTTTTTCGAGACAAGGTTTCTCTGTGGCTTTGGAGGCTGCCCTGGAACTCACTCTGTAGACCAGGCTGGCCTCGAACTCACAGAGATCTGCCTGCCTCTGCCTCCCGAGTGCTGGAATTAAAGGTGTGCGCCACCAACGCCCAGCCAACAAGCTTGTTTCTAATTTAAATAAAAAAACACTGATTGCCTGATTGGCCAGACAAGAAGTGACATAGCTGGACAGAAACATGCCACTAGCTAACATGGAGCTTTAGAGGTATATACAGACAGACAGAAAGTGATGTAGCCAGGCAGAATCAGGATATAAGCAGGGACAAACAGGAAATGCCTATCTGTCCCGCGCTACCGTCTCGCCAGCAAGAACGACGCAGAACACTCGGATCCTTCTGCAGTAAAGCTTTAATGCATCTTGAGAGATAGATGATCAGCTTCTTAGAGGGAGACCCCAAGCTAAGAAACCCAGCCCCTTATATAAGCCTAGGAGCTCCGAGTGAGACGTGTAGAGCCAGGATTGGTGGTTTGCACATCACCCCAGATGACGCCACGGGAGAGGCACAGCTTAAACGGTTAACTCCAACTGACAGCAGATGTCAGCGCCATCTTCTAACGGTTAACTCCAACTGACAGCAGATGTCAGCGCCATCTTCTAACGGCAATAGCGATAGCGAGGGCGGCTCCTCACATCTCCCCCTATTCATTTATTTTTGAAGCAATAGGACACCCACAACTTTGGAGTGGAGATAGAGGTCAAATCCCCATGTGCAAATTCGGAACATGTACAAAGCTCCTCTCCAGGGTCTTATCCCCAGAGAGAGCCCTGACCAGTCCGATGTCGTTTTTCTGGGGGAAGGAGATCATGACATAGAACCTTCATGCAAGATGACTTATCTCCCAGGAGAAAGTCGTTATACCGCAGACCTCTCCTGTGCAGTGCTTAGCCTTGCAACTCCTTGGGCTGCTGAAGCCTACCCACTCTATCCCGTGCAATGAGACTAGCCTCGTGGGGTGCAAGAGCTGGGAGGCCAGCGACCTATTGCTTTAACATGGTTAACCAAATGTCAGGGGAGGCTCCGTGTTCTAAGGCAGCAAGTGCTTGTGCCACCACCACTTTGTCTCTTTTGTTTGGGCTCTGAGCTTACACACCATCCAAAGCATCAACACTATTCCACAGCAGAGAACTAGGCTAAATGATCCTACCCCCACCCATTCCTTAAAATAAGAAAATGCAGATGAAATCCAGGAGGAGAGGCCTTCCATCAGAGAAAGATCCAGATGCGTCGAATTCACTTGCAGGATCGCCATTCTCAACTCACGGAGTGTCTGCTCAAACTCAAAAGTCCAATTCTGTAATAAATGTTGAGACAGAGCTTGTGACAGGTTAGCTGCTCTTGTAAAATTCTCATATTGTACTGAAGTGACACAAAGGCCAGGCAACTTTTGTTCACATCCCAATTGGGCCATCTGCCACAATATATCCAATTGTTCCTGAACCAAATTAATCTGTTGGTTTACCAACATCAGGCCTCCTTGTATCTGAGAATTGGCAGTGGCCTGTTTATCTAGGACCATGGTCACAGTGGCCTATAGTTCATTAATGGTTTGAGTTGTCTGCACAGTGGCAGAAAGTGCAAGGGCCGAGGCGGTAACCGAAGCAGTAACCGCGGCGGTGGCTATCAGGCCCACAATAATAGCAGAGATCCCAAAAATCTCGCTTTTCCCTAAACAAACTCAAATTACTTGGCGTCTCAACAGGAACTGGAACAAATCGAGGCATGCGCATTACCAAAGCAAAAGGGTGCTTAATAGCATCCCAGCATAATGCATAAAAACAATTCTAAGCAGAGCAATTTATTTCTTTCTGATTCTTACCTAAGGTATCATTACTCACAACCCAAATAAAGGGCAGCTGAATAATTAGTTCTCTTAAAAGGGGTATACTTAACATTGGAGGAGGACCAATCAGATGATCCATAGCTCTGTCCCTCACTCAGACTGTTGCCTAATGCCCCTTTCCAATCAAAAGTAATCTGTCCCTTCTCACTATCATAGGAGAAAGATCAGTACAGCTTCCATTAATTCAAAAGGATTAGCATTAGATCTTTCTGGATCCATATGAATAAAATTATCCTTTAATGAAGAAATCACAGTAAAGCACAAGCTTCCTACTAATGACAAGGTTCTCTCATCCTGAAAACTCTGTATCTGAGGATCTAAAGGCAAAAAGGCAAGCCCCAACTCTCTATTAGTTGTGAAAAATCTAGGGAACACCTGGGCATTCTGCATCACTGGCATACTAGGAACCATCATCCCGAGTAGGAGAGTCTTCATCACCCACTTGGCCTCCATCCTTCTTATTCTGGAGTTGTGAAGGAGCTCTTCGAGTGAGTCTTTCAGGGATCCACAGGGGGTTTTCTTCCTCCTGTGGAAAAACACACACAGCTCCCCTGGATCTTATAAGAATAGGATCCGGGCCTTTCCAGAGATCAGTCAAGACATCTTTCCATTTTACCATTTCTTTTGGCCTATCAGGCTCTAAACTGTGGCGATCGGCCGCAGTGTGGCCTTGGGCATCAGAGTTCAAGAAATTAAGGGTAAAAAGTGCCATGGATACAGCAACTCTTGGTACCGAGGGTAGAACATCCTCAATACTCCCCTTTTGTTTAATCAGATATGATTTGAGTGTACGATGGGCACGTTCCACAATGCCCTGTCCTTGAGGGTTATAAGGTAGGCCAGTTAGATGGGTAACATCCATTTGCCGACAAAACTGTCGGAATTTTTGAGAGGTATATGCTGGTCCATTGTCTGTTTTTAAAATTCTGGGTTTTCCTCAAGCACTCCAGGCCTCAAGGCAATGTTGAATCACATATGAGGCCTTTTCCCCTGTTAGGGGTGTGGCGAACATTACGCCAGAACAGGTGTCAACAGAAACATGAACATATTGAAGCCTTCCAAAAGAGGGAATATGAGTAACATCCATCTGCCACATCTGCAATGGTCTAATGCCACGTGGGTTTATTCCCATGTGGGGAGTAGGTAAGAATTCGCAGCAATTCTGGCATTGAGTAACAATTTCCCTAGCCTCTTTCCTGGATAGAGCAAAACGAC